GCGGTCACTGCACTCCAGTCTGGGCGACAGAGTGAGACTCCAACTCAAAAAAAAAAGAGATTCCAGAGTTGGGGCAACCCCTTCGGGTCTGTGGGAGCTTTTCTGTCCTCTCAATAAATCCTGCTTTCTCAAAAAAACAAACAAACAAACAAACAAAAAAGATTCCAGAGTCAGCTGGGCACCGTAGCTCATGCCTTTAATCCCAGTACTTTGAGAGGCTGAGGCAAGAGGATTGCCTGAGCCCAGGGGTTGAAGACCAGCCTAGGCAACATTGCGAGACCTCATCTCTACATAAATCAAAAAATTAGCTGGGCATGGTGGTGCACACCTGTAGTTCCAGCTACTTGGAAGGCTGAAGCGGAAGGATAGCCTGAACTCAGCAGGTCGAGGCTGCAGTGACCATGAGCATGCCACAGCATTCCAGCCTGGGCAACAGAGTGAGACTCCAACTAAAAAAAAAAAAAAAAATTCCAGAGTCGTGGTACTTATACACAATGGAATATTACACAGTCATAAAAAAGGACAAAATTATGAACTTCACAGCAACTTGGATGAACTTAGAATCTATTATAATACTGAGTGATCAGCCAGACTCAGTGGCTCAGTCTGTAATCCCGCGCCTTTGGGAGGCTGAGGTGAGTGGATTGCCTGAGCCCATGGGTTCAAGATCCGCCTGGACAGCGAGACCTCATCTCTACAGTAAATCAAAAAAAATCAGCCGGGCATGGTAGCGCGTGCCTATAATTCCGGCTACTTGGAAGGCTGAGGCGGAAGGATCCCGGAGCCCAGCAGGTCGAGGCTGCGGTGGCTGGGAGCGGCCACTACACTCCAGTCTGGGCAACAGAGGGAGACTCCAACTCAAAAAATAATAATAATAATAATACTGAGTGATCTGTCACAGAAACAAAGAACCAAGTATCACATGTTCTCACTCATAAGCAGACCATGAACAACTATCATAATACTATAAGAAAGGGGTTGGCAGTAGTGGGAAACTGCCAGGGGAGGAGGAACACACCTCATCAACAAGGGTACCTGCATAATGAACATTTGTATAAATAACCGTGAATTGTACTCCATATCCTTAAAATAAAAAATTTAAAATAAAATTAAAAGATTCCAGAGTCACTGGCTCAAGGCAGCAAAGATAATCTCGGAGGTCTGTGAGGTGGGAGTTGAGAACTGTCGCCTACCAGGCCCATCAAAAGCTTTGGAGCAGTACGGGCTTTGGCGGCCATGAAAGGAGAGGCGGATGTCAGCTGAACCAGCCTGCACCTCCCGGAAGGTCAAAGGAACCACATTGCTCCAGTACTGGAAAGCTTGAAGCAGGGCTGCCCGGGCTGTGTTGGGTGGGAGGGTCGAGGGTAGATTGAAGATGCGGAAGGTCAGGTGCCTCCTTCTCCAGCGGCCTGGAAAATGGACCAGAGAATAGATTCAAAAACAGATCCTTCTGCTACCCTGGGTCTGAGCACTTACACAACCCCTCTGGGCAGTTGATAACCAGGCCATCACAGGTGATCATCCACTCAACACAGAGCTGGTCCAGGTTGTCCCAATGCCCCCGAACTCCAGAGCCACACCACCCCCTCCTCTCTCTCCCTTTCTCCAGCTCAGTCCTCACCCAACAGCAGGTATTTAAGGGTCTTCTGGTTGAAGGGGTCCTCTAGGCCACAACGAGGCTGCCTCATGCGGGCCTTTGTGGCATCATCCAGCTGACCTGAGACTGGAAGTTCGGATGCTTCCTGAAAGGCTCTGCAAGAGGGAGAGGGATGGGTCCACCAGGGCAGGGGAATCTGGAACAATTGGGGACTAGAGATAGCCCTTTGGCCTCTTGCTGCCCAAGGAGATGTTCAAGAATGGCACAGAATCTCTGAAGCTGACTGCATCGCTCCAGCCTCCAGTATTCATAATTGGGACCTTCTCTTCTGTTCTGCAGATATGGCAAAACCCCAACTTCATCTCCCCATCTTCAGTCTCTTTTTTTTTATTTTGAGTCGGAGTCTCACTCTCTTGCCCAAGCTGGAGTGCAGTGGCATGATCATGGCCACCACAGACTCAACCTGCTGGGTTCAGGCGATCCTTCCGCCTCAGCCTTCCAAGTAGCTGGAACTACAGACATGCATCACCACACCCGGTTAATTTTTTGATTTATTGTAGAGATTAGGTCTTGCCAAGTTGCCCAGGCTGGTCTCAAACCCATGAGCTCAGGCAATCCTCTCACCTCGGCCTCCCAAAGTGCTGGGGTTATGGGCGTGAGCCACCACACCTGGCCCATCTTCAGTCTCTTATCTGAAGTAAACTGGCCCTCGGATAGAGCCTTCCTGCCCTGCTGCAATTTTAAACTTCTGCTCTGGCTGGGCTCGGTGGCTCAGCCTGTAATCCCAGCATTTTGGGAGGCCAAGGTGAGTGGATTGCCTGAGCCCGTGGGTTCAAGACTAGCCCGGCCAACTTGGCGAGACCTCGTCTCTGCAATTAAAAAAAAATTAGCCGGGCGTGGCAGTGCGCACCTATAGTTCCAACTACTTGGAAGGCTGAGACAGAAGGATTGCCTGAGCCCAGCAGGTCAACGCTGGGTTGGCTGTGAGTGTGCCACTGCCCTCCAGCCTGGACAATGGAGTGAGACTCCAACTCAAAAAAAAAACAACAACAACAACAAACTTCTGCTTTGGGAGGCATCTGGCTCTGAAGAGCTTCCCGCCCATGTTCCCACCTGGTAGCCTGTCTTCCCTCGTCTTCCTCCCTCCTGGCTCGACCGTCCTCCCAGCCCAGTCTGCTCTGGAACAATTTCATCCACCAAGGGACGATCATAGGGCCTAGGAATTTTTCAAGGGACTCGAACATGTCTCAGAGCAGAAAGAAAAGCAATTCTTTAAAACCAAACTACAAAATATCCAGCAAATAAAGGAATGCTGAAGTAAAAGTCCACAAAAGGTAACATCGCATCAACAACTCAACTCGCAGTTTTACATATAATGACACTTCCTGGGGCTCTAACTAAACATTAGCATTTGGGATATGATGTGGGGTGCAGCCTCCAAAGGACTGCTTAAGGCTTAGGAAGATTCATTGACTGTGCTCCTCATCTTTGAATCCCTATCTCACCCCATGCCCTATGACCCTAACAATGACAGACACCCACCCTCAGATCCTTGACATGGTTTTGGGTCAAGAAGAGCTGGGCCTGGGGAGAGGAAAGGGTAATAAGAGAGAAGAAGACCTTGTCACCTCAGCCCTGAAGGCATAAGCTTCTTTTTTGTTGTGTTTTTTTTAGTCAGACTCTGATGCCCACATTCACGGCCACTGCAGCCTCGATGTGCTGGGCTCAGGCAATCTTTCTGGCCGCCTCAGCCTTCCAAGTGTCTGGAACAATGGGTAGGCACCACTATGCCTGGCTTATTTTTTTATTTATTGTAGAGACAAGGTCTTGTCAAGTTGCCCAGGCTGGTCTAGAACCCCTGGGCTCGACTATCCTCCCAAATTGCTGGGATTACAAGTGTGAACACCCAGCCCGGTCTGGCATGCAGTCTTGACCTCTCACCTCAGAGCCTTGCTGAGATCTTCTGACCTGAAGTTAGCATGTCCTTCTAGAGGCTTCTGCAGGTACCCATATTGCAACAGGTACTCCTATGATAGGGGTGGAGATAAGCAGGTTAAAAAGGGAGTTAGCAGCCGGGCTCGGTGGCTCAGCCTGTAATCCCACGCCTTTGGGAGGCTGAGGTGAGTGGATTGCCTGAGCCCGCGGGTTCGAGACCCGCCTGGGCAGCGAGACCTCATCTCTACAATAAATCAAAAAAAAAAAAAAAAAAAGGGAGTTAGTCTCCAAGTGAAGCTTCTAGGTGACCTAACAGGCCCATCAAGAGGGAGGGGCCAGATACAGAAGGGCTAGTGGAGTGGCACCTTAGAGAAGGGCTCAGGTGGAACGAGGGAAGTAGCAGGAGACGAGTGGGGAAGACCATGGGGCAGAGGAAGCAAGAGGAAGACAGGCAGGCTGACGGTCAGGAGGGAGGCTTGGATGGCGCTGTGGAGCAGTAACCCCCGTACCTCCACTGGCCCGGGTCCCTCTTTCCCAGGGAACTCACCACAGCCGCCTCCTTCTCTGTAAGCGTCTGGGTCCGGCCTGAGACTGTCATGGGTAGTAGGAAGACCAGCCACAGCTGCTGCCAGTTCATGGTGTCACCAGAAAAGAGCTCCAGAGACTGTCCGTGCCCTCTGGCCTGAGATTCCTGGGAGCCAGGGGGATCAGAGGCAGGCAGTTGAGGGGGGTCTTACCTACAGTTATTTTTGCCCTCCAGTCTCTGGTCTTCTTTATAAAACTGAGGGCAATTGGGGGGGGAGTGGAAGTGGGAGGTGACTCAGCCCAGAGATATGTTGCAATTCACCATTAACCCCTGCCCTACCAGAGAGCAGAAGCCAAGGAGAGCCCCTAACCCCTTCTCCCAGAGTCCTCTATTGGAGATAGAAAGGCTTTTCATACTGCCTTGGGGTGAACATTCGGGCAGGATCAAAAGCAGAATCTCTGGAGAGACTAGACATAGGGATCAAAGCCATTTCCTGGAACTGGACATTCCTACGCCCCAGGGACCCTGGTCCAACAAATCCATCCTCTTCAACCTTTGAGTCTCCCTATCTGTTCTAGAAAAGGAAAAAAAAATCCAACAACAAAGCTACAAGGTAGGAAATAGCTGAGATAGCTTGGGTTTCAGGAGAAGGAACCAAGGGTGGGGTCTCAGCTCTTTGCACCCAGGACTAAGTTGGAAACTTAAATGCTCTTGAAGCCTACAAATGTCTGTTTTAACAAAAAGCCTTTTTTTAAAAAAAATTGAGACGGGGGGGGGTCTCACTATGTTGCCCAGGTTGATCTCGAACTCCTGGACTCAAGTGATCCTTCCACCTCAGCCTCCTAAAGTGCTGGTATGACAGGTGTGAGCCACCGCACTCAACCTAAAAAAAGTCATTATTCCAAGCATTCAATGAGCCCAGGGTGTGTGGGTGGAAGTCCCTTGGGACTTAGTCCCCCAATTGAAGGGCACAAAGAAGCAAAGGGCCCAGAGCCTGCCCTCAGAGAGCTTACAGATAGGGAGAGGCAGATCCAAATACCTGGACAGAGGGAAGCCAGAATACTAGGCCAGAGGTGACCCACCTTGAGGGTCATGGGATTATGGGGAGCTTTGCTGAGAAGGCAAGTTTTGAGCTGGGCTATGAAGATCGACTGAGGTATGAAGTGAAGAACTGATGGAAAAAAGAGGACTGAGAAGCCAGGAGAGGACGGAGAGGCAGAGACCATGCAGGTCTTGAGTCAAAGCGTGGAGCTGAAAGCCTACAGTGCTCAGTGCAGGGCACAAGCCCAAAGAGTCAGAACGGCTTCGTTCACCACTGAATCCCTGGTGCCTACCCCAGGCCAGCTCCATGCTTTAGTGGCAGGGTTCAATAAATCTTTGTCAAAGGAATGACCAAGGTTGGAGACTGGTTGGGAGCCAGAATGCAAGAGGACCTTGAGTGCTATGGAAGAAAAAGAAGAAACACAGTTAAAAATACCTACCGCCGGGCACAGTGGTTCACACTTGTAATCCCAGCATTTTAGGAGGCTGAGGTGAGAGGATTGCCTGAGCTTGCAGGTTCGAGACCAACCTGGGCAACATCGTGAGACCTCCTCTCTACAATAAACCAAAAAATTAGCCGGGCATGATGTCTGTAGTTCCAGCTCCTTGGACGACTGAGGTGGATGGCTCGCCTGAGTTCAGCGGGTCGAGGTTGCGGTGGCCGTGAGTGTGCCACTGCAATCCAGCCTGGGTGACAGAGTAGACTCCAGTTCAAAAAATAAAAAAGTACCTACTGGCCAAGCCTAGTGACTCACACCTATAGCCCCAGCACTTTGGGGGAATCTGAGGCAGGAGAAGCACTTGTGCCTAGGAGTTCGAGATCAGCTCAGGCGACATAGTGAGACCCTGTTTTTACAAAAAAAAAATAATAATAAAGCAAAAAAATAAATCTGGCGTGCATGGTGGCACATGCCTATAGTCCCAGCTACTCAGGAGGTTGAGACTGTGGTGAACCATTATCATGCCACTGCCCTCCAGCCTGGGCTACAGAATGAGATCCTGACTTCCCAAAAATATAAATAAATAAATACATACATACATAAAAATAAAAGTACCTCCTATGTGCTAAATGCTTCATTTATCTTCTTTAGTTCTCACAACCATCCTGTGAGGGAAGAATTATTCTGGCCTTTTTTTTTGAGTTGGAGTCTCACTCTGTCGCCCAGACTGGAGTGCAGTGGCCGCTCCTGGCTACCGCAGCCTCGACCTGCTGGGCTCCGGCGATCCTTCCACCTCAGCCTTCCAAGTAGCCGGAATTACAGGCGCCCGCTACCACGCCCAGCTAATTTTTTGATTTATTGTAGAGACGAGGTCTCGCCAAGTTGCCCGGGCGGGTCTCGAACCCGCAGGCTCAGGCAATCCACTCACCTCAGCCTCCCAAGGCGCGGGATTACAGGCTGAGCCACTGAGCCTGGCTCTATTCTGGCCTTTTTTCTTTCTTTCTTTTTTTTTTTTTTGAGTGGAGGCCTCACTCTGTTGCCCAGGCTGGAATGGAGTGGCACAAACACAGCTCACTGCAGCCGCACCTCAACCTCCTGGGTTCAGGCGATCTATGGCTATTTTTTTTTTTTTTTTTTTTTTTGAGTTGGAGTCTCCCTCTGTCGCCCAGACTGGAGTGTAGTGGCCGCTCCCGGCCACTGCAGCCTCGACCTGCTGGGCTCCGGTGATCCTTCCGCCTCAGCCTTCCCAGTAGCCGGAATTACAGGCATGTGCTACCACGACCGGCTGATTTTTTGATTTATTGTAGAGATGGGGTCTCGCTGCCCAGGCGGGTCTCAAACCCGCAGGCTCAGGCAATCCACTCACCTCAGCCTCCCAAAGGCGCGGGATTACAGGCTGAGCCACGGAGCCCGGTTTATGGCTATTTTTTATAACAGGAAGTAGATACTGAGAAAGGGAAATTTGGTCAAGAACATGGAACTCCTAACTGGCCTGACCTATCTTCAGATTCCTCTGCTGACTTTATAACTCGTGAACTCATGCTCTTTCCAAGAATCACACCAACTCTTAAGTAGCCAGGAGTCATTGAAGGGGCCACCGTCATACGTGTGTCGTATAATATTTGCGTAGGAACAGTGAAGTAGGCATACGAATGGAGGAAAGGGTTACTAAGCCCATGTTCTCAGTAGGACCCAAAGTCTGAGTCTTTCTCCACACCTCAGGCTAAAAGGTTGGGAGGCCACAGGGGAGCCCTTCACACACCTGGGATGCTCCTGACTCACATGGCTGCCCTCAGTGGCCCTAGTCCCTCTGACCCACCCAGTACCCAACAGGGTAACAGTTGAATGACTAAGTCCCAAAAGACCAGTGACAGGCAAGGAAGGACAGAGAGCCTCTGAGCAATGCATGACGGAGCTAGTGCAACCAAGAAATAATGGCATTTTGGGACCAATTTCTGCTCAGTCCCCTACACGGTTCTTTCTCATTTCTTTTCTTCCTCTTTCAACCCCCCACTCTCCACTCTTTTTTTTTAAAGAACAGAACATGAGTTAATTGAAATTATAATTTTTTTTCTGATTAACATTTTGGGATTATAGGCCAGGCACAGTGGCTCAACCTTGTAATCCCAACACTTACGGAGGCTGAGGCAAAAGAATTTGATATAGAGGCCCGCTAATGTCCTCCCATATCGTCACAGCCCCTAGAGAAGGGTTTAAGCTCTCCTGCATGTTCCTGACCCATCACTGAAAGTCCCCTTATCTCCTATGCATTCCCAGTAAGTAGCTTCAGGGAATCCTTGACTTCCCTGTGGACTAAACCCACTCACTGAAGGATGCAAAAATTCCATTCACTCCCTTTTTCTGAGTGGTTGTAAGTTTGAATAATATAGTATCCATGTGATCGTAAGCCTTGTGATTTGCATAACTTTTGTATAGATGTAATCATAAGTTTTGTGATTTGTACAACTTGTATGTAATACATGTTGTCTTAGGTCTTGTAATCTCCATTTACTCCATGGCAAGCTTGATTGATGATTCTGCAGGCCCTACTGATGAAAGCTATGAGATACCGCTGATATTTGGCGGGCACAAGGAAGTCTGGACCAAAAAATGTCACTATCTACAAATATGGCTGAAACTCAAGTTCTACACAATGCTCTTTAGCATGTATAGAATGGTCACGCGGCTAATTAATAGGTACAAACAACTCTGAACTTATAAAAGTGAACTGTAAAAGCCTGGAGGGTGATCAGAACCATCTTATTTTATGTTATTTTATTTATCTTTTGAGTTGGAGTCTCAGTCTAACGCCTAGGCTGGGGTACAGTGGCACACTCACAGCCATCGCGGCCTCAACCTGCTGGACTCAGGTGATCCTTCCACCTCAGACTTCCAAGTAGCTGGAATTGCAGGCACACACCACAATGCCTGGCTAATTTTTTGATATATTGTAGAGATGAGATCTCGCCATGTTGTCCAGGCTGGTTTCGAACCCGTGGGCTCAGGCAATCCTCTCACCTCGGCCTCCCAAAGTGCTGGGACTATAGGCATAAGCCACAGCGCCTGGCCTGAGCAGAACCATTTTAGAGTGACCTCCAGTCCGGCTCTGCTCTCTGGATTCAAACTCAGAAATAAACTTCTTTCTACCAGTTCCCTGTCCCTTTGATTTATTGATATCAAGGGGAATAGCCGGACGTTACTCGGACCATAACATTGTTTGAGCCCAGAAGTTTTTTTTTTAGTTGGAGGCTCACTCTGTCGCCCAGACTGGAGTGCAGTGACCGCTCGCGGCCACCGCAGCCTCAACCTGCTGGGTTCCGGCGATCCTTCCGCCTCAGCCTTCCGAGTCACTGGAACTACAGGCGCGCTACCACGCCGGGCTAATTTTTGATTTATTGTAGAGATGAGGTCTCGCCAAGTTGCCCAGGGGGGTCTCGAACCCGCGGGCTCAGGCAATCCACTCACCTCAGCCTCCCAAAGGCACGGGATTACAGGCTGAGCCTGTAATCACCGAGCCTGGCTGAGCCCAGAAGTTTGAAACCAACATAGCGAGACCACATCTCTACAAAAAAATCAAAACACTAGCCAGGCATGGTGTTGCGTGCCTGTAGTTCCAGTGACTCGGGAGGTCAAGATGGGAGAATCTCCTGAGCCTAGAAGGTTGAAGCTGTGGTGATCCGTGAGCATGCCACTGCACTCCAGCCTGGGCAACAAAGTGAGACTCCATCTCAAAAAAAAAAATTTGGTATTTTTCCGAATAAAAGTTGATATTTT